GTCAGTTGGGTCTCGGATAGCGTTTTTGAATGTGAAACTGGGTAATACGGGATCGAATCCTCCAAAAAAAGTATCAGTTTCCTCAAGATTACAAGTACACCTTGCTAACCAGTGTCAAGCAGCACGAAACGTTGGTTTAGGGTTTACCTGTCGACTACTATCAACTACCATCTTATAAAGAAAAATTGTTCCAGACCTATAAATCTAATTACCAACATAGTTCCCTGATGAATTTCACAATGATAGACCATTAACTAGGAGAAAAAGGCAAGATGAATACAAAAACATATCTGTATTTTTATTCTTCCAAAGACTACGATTTTTTAAGCTGATGTTCACAAAAGTTTTCATTACAAGTGAACAAAATCGTCAAAGGGAGAATGATATTTCACTATTCTTCAGGAGTTACAAAAATTCGAATGCTTAGAAAAATATTGTTTACTTCGGAAAAGGAAATTTAGGAAATCTGCAGTAGTGGAACCAGTTTCCATTTATTCGGTGGACAAGATTTAAAGAAAGACATTTTAAATATACATATGTATATCTGATAACTTGAACGTGACATGAGGGAACAGGGACTGTGATAAAGTATGCTCAATCCATCCAACCTATTAATGACTATTCACAGATGGTAGATATGGCCTCCGATTAAATTTCCATTGTTGATTTACAGATCCAAAACATTCAGCAAGTTTCACTGTTGATTTTTTTTAGATTGATTTCCAAACACTGACCTAGATGATGGATAGTGTTATCCTGTCAAGAAACGTAATTAAAGAACGGTAAATGTATAGACACTCAGTACAAGTATTTATATATATGATAAATAACAACGATTTATATGGTATTCCAGTAGTCGAGTCATATCCCACCCAACCAAATCAAGCTATAATTTTTGATAAGCTCATCAGGATATTTCCCATTTTACAAGGCATCGTAGGTTTGACCTTCGCGCTATTCACGCTGTTGTTTCAGTAATTTTGATCAGTACTCCGAAGATATCAGTGTTTAAATGTTAACGCATTAATCACTTATCTAACGCACAAAAAGCATACGAATTTTGATGGAGCTTTGTTCTCTGGGCTGGTTTAGTCATGGAGCATTCATCGTTCTTCTGAACGACATTATCAGCACAAACTTCAGAAGTTTGACATCTGAGAACAAAACTCCATCAAAATCATCCACCTGAGCTACAAATCTTGACCATCTCAGAAGCATAGGAATGTTTTGTAAGAATTTCACTAGACAACTGAACATTTTGACAAGGAAACAATTATAAGTGAAGTCGACAAAAACCAAACTACTCCAATTGACATTATTGAAGTTGTTTCCCAAATTTAAGGGATGAGAAAAACACTGCAATAATTATTATATTATCAATCCAGGCGCTCAGAAAAGTGGCTTTAGTCACCATTCTTGTTAAACAGGATAACAGTTAAAAATATCCTTTAAATTCATAAACCAATTCAATTTAGATAAAAGAAGTCTGAAAACCGAAGTAATAAAATAAGTATTAATAAATGAAATTGAGAAGCATTGACAAATGCCACCTGACGTAACAAATGGAAGTGCTGTTTCTCCAGTTGCTCTGGCAAAGAAAATTATTTTATAGTTGACAGCCGTCATTAGGTTATTGTAAATTTTCGGTACAATTTTTAATAAAATCTGGTTAAGTGTTTTATAGTATAACATACCTATCCATCTGACAGTACAGTGGCTACACTTGAATGCCTAGATTTATGGTGTATGTTAGAAAGCATTCCAATGGATTGACCTTAGTATCCTCTGGGCTGTTTTTTGTGAGATTCCAGACAAAGACTTTGCTGTGAGAAAACGCTTCATCCTTATTATTTTAAGACTAGATCGCCACATTCGATAGAGTAAAACATCAATGATTGTATACTGGAATTCATATAAGGAGTGGCTGTCTTATTTTTATACTGATCGTTATTCCTAACATTTGAAAATCATATATTTGGTTTCGTACGAATTAATGTGACTATAGTGACGATAATATCAACAAAACATTGTAATGTGATAACAAGGTTAAACTTAGTAGATCATTATTAAGGGAGAAAAATAACATTAGCCAGTATCGAATAGTGTCGCTGATAGGATATAGAGATAGTCAGTCAGTAACAACGTAGAACTTCGTACGTACGTACACCAGTTCAAGTTGCCACACCACATTAGCACAGAGATGCAGTTGTCGATCCAAATCCCGTAGTGGTAGAGGTAATAAGAGTATAAGCAGTAATCGGGAAGATTAGGGTTTGGAGATGTTATTTAAAGAGTATAATCCAGTGAAATAAATTTGGAAAGTGAAAAGAGGGACATGAAGAATTCAGAAGATTAGAATTTAGGAGAACACAGAGTGGATGCACCTGCGCCATTGCAAACAATTTTGAGCCATGTCATTCAGGGTCTTTAACCATCGGTTGCTATCATCTCGTGGTCCCCAACCAGGTAGTCTACACCTACCAACATGACTCAGTCCACTTGTCAGTGACTTCATGGACTTGTGCCATGTTTTGCTCTGATAGCCCCTAGCTTTCTTCCAACCTACTCTTATACCACTGAACATCGAGATAGACAAGTCTGTGACCAGTAAAACATGATGAACTGACTTGCCTAAATGGTGAACAACCAATTTTCGATGTTTGTATCATTAACAGATTAGGTTTATGAAAACTAAAGAAGTCAATATTAAATGTTAGATGTATACTGAATAAATAGGTTTGAAACTTATTTACCAATAAATCAACGGCTATTGAAATCTTCGCTAATTGTAAAGAGAAAGCCGAACCACGGTGACTATTATTGATGGCTAACTCAGCTAAAATGAATGACTTTGTATGTGTTCTGACAATTCACGGAATATTCTTTGCTTCATCATGACTGAGTTCAACACTCAACAAAACTTACCATTTCATAAGTGAACTCTTGACTTTCACATGAAGTTTGTGTGGTGTCAGAAATGTCTCCAGCCGTTCATCTTTCAATGAAAGAACAGTTGGACAGAATAGTCATTGAAATGATGAAAGGTGGTTACATAAGCATAAAGAAGGTTGACCAAATATTGGACCTTTTTCGTGCGCGGTATCCAGAACTTCCTACGTACGTCCGGAGTGTTCTACGTCGATGCAACGACGTGGAGCCTAAGATCCTCGATTCTGGAACGTATTACCACTCGGGATTGAAATCAAGTCTTTTGAGAATTTCAGAACATTGGCTACGGCGAATCCGTTTCAACGAACTTCAGTTGCACTTCAACTACGATGGTCTCAGTTTGTTCAAAAGCTCTAACCAACAGCTGTGGCCGATCCTAGGTCGCATAGTAGCTCCACTAGTTAGTAGTGTTTTCGTAGTTGGGATCTACGGTGGTGAAGCAAAACCATCTGATTTCAACGACATGTCAGCAACACTTATAACAGAGTTACAGGAGTTGCTGACGGAGGTATTAATGTAGATAAGTATCAGCTACATTTAACAGTTAAATTAGTTGCTGTTATTTGTGACGCTCCAGCTCGCTGCAACGTGAAGTACATTGTGGGACACAATGGTATCGCTGGCTGTGACAAATGTCAGGTTTTAGGGACGCGAATGGGTGATCGAATGACTTTCCCCAATGGTGAACACGACTTAAGAAATGATGTCACTTTTCGTAGTAGGTCGCAATCTATCCATCATCGTGGTACAAGTTCATTTGAAAATCTGCCAGTGGATATGATTAAATGATTCCCCTGTGGACCTATGCATATGATATACTTAGGTGTTACTAAAAAACTTATTTCATTAAGGAAGGAGCTAGCTATTAAGCGACTTAATAGGATGGATCAATCAATTATCGCATCAATAAATGATGCACTAGACATATGTAGACAACACACTACATGCGATTTTCAACGGAAATGTCGTTCACTTTATGGAGTTTCTGTATGGAAAGCAACTGAGTGTCGGTTGTTCTTATTATACTTAGGACCTGTAGTTCTTCATAATAGGTTACCACTATCAATGTACAGAAACTTCCAGTCACTCTCTTTGTCTATGTATTTATTATCGCACCCTAAGTTTCATAGCACATTCGCTAACAGTGTTCGGGTTTACATTAATAACTTCTTATTAGGTTACGAAAGGTGTTACGGTACCGAACACTTAATCTACAATGTGCATAGTTTAAAGCACATTGCAGACGACGTTATGGAACATGGTACTTTAGAATCGTTCTCAGCATTTCCTTTTGAGTCTTACATGAAAAAAATTAGGCGTTCAGTACATTGTGGATTTGTTGCGGCTAAACAAGCCGCACAGCGATATGCCGAAGAAGTTTACTTTCAAAGTATACTGAATCAGGATGAGGCTGACAACGTCACTGGGCCTGAGGTAACTGATGATTCTTCCAAGCAACCTCTAGTTCTTCTGAGGTGCATAAATAGTCGGTATTTTTTCGTTTGACATTACTAACACAAGTGATATAACAATTTACCTTTTCAGCGTGGCAAGACTGCGTTTCATCGTTAGTCGTGATGTTAGTATTGTAGCCCAGTACTGTTGTTAAACACACTTTTAATTCCTGGGCTACATTGTAGTCCTCTGAAAACAATAAATGTTAATTGATTGCAACTTACCACAACGATGCATAACGGCGCATTTTCTCAACATCAATACCCTCAACAATTTCGTACTCACTGATATCATCACGATAAAGGTAATGATCGTTGGTCAGGAGCCATTTGTTCGGAATGCAGAGCACTTGCTGCTTCTCCTTATCGTCAACCAAAATGTACTTACCACTTTGATGCTGTAAATGAATGGACGACGTAAAATCACTAAGCAACAGGGATTTACTGGCTAACGTGCTATATTTGCGACAAGTGATGTGACTTTGCTTATTGCAATGTATGTAAAAGAGGTATAATAATCTCATTAACGCATTTACAAAGTATGTCTGTTACTGTGGATCACAGTTTAAAGGACACAAAATTATAAGGTTATTATACCTCTTTTACATACATTGCAATAAGCAAAGTCACATCACTTGTCGCAAATATAGCACGTTAGCCAGTAAATCCCTGTTGCTTAGTGATTTTACGTCGTCCATTCATTTACAGCATCAAAGTGGTAAGTACATTTTGGTTGACGATAAGGAGAAGCAGCAAGTGCTCTGCATTCCGAACAAATGGCTCCTGACCAACGATCATTACCTTTATCGTGATGATATCAGTGAGTACGAAATTGTTGAGGGTATTGATGTTGAGAAAATGCGCCGTTATGCATCGTTGTGGTAAGTTGCAATCAATTAACATTTATTGTTTTCAGAGGACTACAATGTAGCCCAGGAATTAAAAGTGTGTTTAACAACAGTACTGGGCTACAATACTAACATCACGACTAACGATGAAACGCAGTCTTGCCACGCTGAAAAGGTAAATTGTTATATCACTTGTGTTAGTAATGTCAAACGAAAAAATACCGACTATTTATGCACCTCAGAAGAACTAGAGGTTGCTTGGAAGAATCATCAGTTACCTCAGGCCCAGTGACGTTGTCAGCCTCATCCTGATTCAGTATACTTTGAAAGTAAACTTCTTCGGCATATCGCTGTGCGGCTTGTTTAGCCGCAACAAATCCACAATGTACTGAACGCCTAATTTTTTTCATGTAAGACTCAAAAGGAAATGCTGAGAACGATTCTAAAGTACCATGTTCCATAACGTCGTCTGCAATGTGCTTTAAACTATGCACATTGTAGATTAAGTGTTCGGTACCGTAACACCTTTCGTAACCTAATAAGAAGTTATTAATGTAAACCCGAACACTGTTAGCGAATGTGCTATGAAACTTAGGGTGCGATAATAAATACATAGACAAAGAGAGTGACTGGAAGTTTCTGTACATTGATAGTGGTAACCTATTATGAAGAACTACAGGTCCTAAGTATAATAAGAACAACCGACACTCAGTTGCTTTCCATACAGAAACTCCATAAAGTGAACGACATTTCCGTTGAAAATCGCATGTAGTGTGTTGTCTACATATGTCTAGTGCATCATTTATTGATGCGATAATTGATTGATCCATCCTATTAAGTCGCTTAATAGCTAGCTCCTTCCTTAATGAAATAAGTTTTTTAGTAACACCTAAGTATATCATATGCATAGGTCCACAGGGGAATCATTTAATCATATCCACTGGCAGATTTTCAAATGAACTTGTACCACGATGATGGATAGATTGCGACCTACTACGAAAAGTGACATCATTTCTTAAGTCGTGTTCACCATTGGGGAAAGTCATTCGATCACCCATTCGCGTCCCTAAAACCTGACATTTGTCACAGCCAGCGATACCATTGTGTCCCACAATGTACTTCACGTTGCAGCGAGCTGGAGCGTCACAAATAACAGCAACTAATTTAACTGTTAAATGTAGCTGATACTTATCTACATTAATACCTCCGTCAGCAACTCCTGTAACTCTGTTATAAGTGTTGCTGACATGTCGTTGAAATCAGATGGTTTTGCTTCACCACCGTAGATCCCAACTACGAAAACACTACTAACTAGTGGAGCTACTATGCGACCTAGGATCGGCCACAGCTGTTGGTTAGAGCTTTTGAACAAACTGAGACCATCGTAGTTGAAGTGCAACTGAAGTTCGTTGAAACGGATTCGCCGTAGCCAATGTTCTGAAATTCTCAAAAGACTTGATTTCAATCCCGAGTGGTAATACGTTCCAGAATCGAGGATCTTAGGCTCCACGTCGTTGCATCGACGTAGAACACTCCGGACGTACGTAGGAAGTTCTGGATACCGCGCACGAAAAAGGTCCAATATTTGGTCAACCTTCTTTATGCTTATGTAACCACCTTTCATCATTTCAATGACTATTCTGTCCAACTGTTCTTTCATTGAAAGATGAACGGCTGGAGACATTTCTGACATCACACAACCTATAATATTTTAATAATTAAAGAAATACTACCGCTGGTTGTGTTGTCTGAACACGACGTAACTACATGAAGCAGTAGCTGTAGCTGTGACAATTTTAGCCCACTGTTCTGTAATTTCCTCAACCTTCTGTAATAGGTTGTTTGGGAGCAGGCAAACAACTTCGGATATTTCGCGTCTGCCGCCCGCTTTTTCGCAATCTTATAGACCTGTTTATTACTATTCTGAAAGAAATATTTGACTTAAGTTAGACTGAACATGGACAGAAAATTTTCCAACCTTCACTGCTCACAACTCACCTGCATAGCTTTCAAATTTTGAAAAAGAGCTTTACAACCGACAACTCTTTGTCTACTGTTTGTTTGGTGTATTAAAACAAGACTTGAATTTGATAGACTATCCCTCACCAAAAGTCTGTGTTGTATTAACATGTGAAATTATTTATTCGAATTTACTACTTTTAGGCTTATCTTATGTAAATGAAATGTTAATGTGCAAAATTGCGTTACAATTATTTTCAGGATTCCCCCAAAGCTGGCAGCTTGGGTTACGATCAAAACAGTTAATTAACTCAACGAGAAACAATACCATTGTCCTTTTACATGGAGCCCGCCTTTTCGCAATCTTATCGGCCTGTCTATTATTATTCTGAAAGAAATAATTGACTTATGTAAGAATGAACATAGACAGCACGTAAAATGCCCGACCTGCACTGCTAATAACTCACCGGCATTTTGAAAAAGTGGCTTACAACAGACAACACTTTGTCTCGTGTCTGCTTATTGATGTATTAAAACAAGACTGGAAATTCGATAGACTTGTAGCGTGGAGTCGAGTTGAGATTAGCTGTGAACACCGCTACCAGGAAACACGTGCCAGATAAATCAAAAGGCGAGGGTTGAATGTAACCAGATTTATTTCGTTGGCGATCTCGTGGTATTGAACGAATACCGAGATCGTGCCAAGAAGAGGTACAAGCGAAAGCAGAAGACAGGAGTACGTGCGAACAGTACCAAAAACCGCGGAACAATGATGGAAGGTAATGGAAGCACAAAATGGCTATAATTAGCACGGTTAAACAAAAGCACATTAAAACAAACACTGGTACAGTTGGTTATAATAATAATTGTTTTTATTAAACCAGTCGTGTTCTCGTGATAAACGTGAGTCACTACAGGAGCCCCCCGCTAGAAAGGGTTAACACTTTCGATAAATAGCGGTTTGAATCGTGGGACTGATCGGCTGACGAGCGATTGTAGGACGGAAGAATTGGCGAACAGGAAAGCAATCGTTGATCGTCGAGCTGCCAACGAAGGTCGTTTACGGAGAACAGTACCAGGAGCGATGTGTTGTATTTATTGCTCGAGTTGGCATGCTACACCAGGGTGGTTTGTATCCAGAATCTGAAGAGGGCGTTCGTACGGGTCTGGACCATAAACGCTGCAGACGAAGGACGAAACCACGTTGAGCCAAAAGACCAGAAGCGACCATAACGACCAAGTTCGAGACCAGGCGTATGCCAAGCATTCGAAACCAATATATCGACTGAGTACGTTGACAAGAGCGTGGGTGATCAGGCCAGCTTTCGCCAAAGTTGACTGAAGTCGACGGAACCAAACGGAGATGGTCGAGGGCGTGGGCTCAGGAAACAAAAAGAAAATAAAAAAAGAGAGGAGTGTAGCATACGTGTAGTATAGGAATAATCCTACACCGTATCGGTTGTTGACTGTGCGACTATTCGCGGAAGCGTACGGGTAACCGTACTCGGCGACCGGAACGTGAGACGATAGTCTCGTTCGCGTCGCGTGAGCCTGCAATCTCATCCGAAGTCAAGGGCGGCGTGGTCTGCTGATCTGGACGTGAGACTGTCGTCTCGTTCGTAGACGGTGCAGATGACGCGTGCTGTTGGCCGGGACGTGAGAATGAGGTCTCAGATGTATCTAGCGTGGGACCTGAAGATGATTTGAGGATCCCGCTAGTAGGTTTGCTAGGTCTAGCATTGAATCTCAGGTTGTCAGATAGGGCACTGTCATCGACGTGTGCTGGTTTGAGACGATCAATGCTGACAATCTCGACGCGGCCGTGTCGATCAACCTTGAAGGTCTTTTCGTGACGAGCGATCACGCGAAAAGGGCCTTCGTAAGGTTGTTGCAAAGGTTTGCGTACCGAATCTACTCGTATGAAAACGTGTGAACAGGTAGATAACTCTCGAGGGAGAGCGACCTGTCGATGTTGTATTCGAGTTGACACCGGAGGCAGCGTTCGCATAAATGCAGACAGTCGTTGGACGTAGTCTGATTTAGCGAAATTAGGTCTGCTCCGTGGTGTGAAGAATTCCCCGGGCAGACGCAATGTCGTGCCGTATACAAGTTCAGCGGCGGAACATTGGATATCTGCCTTTAAACTCGTTCTGATACCTAAAAGAACGAGCGGTAAGGTTTCGTACCAGTCGTCGTTTTCGTGTGCTCGAAGAGCACTTTTAAGTTGCCGGTGAAACCTTTCAACTAAACCGTTTGAAGCTGGATGGTAGGCGGTAGTGCGTATTCGTTCCGTACCAAGCAGCCGAGTAAGTGAGGAGAATAGTGCGGACTCAAATTGTTGTCCTCGGTCAGTCGTGACAGTCGAGGGACAACCATATAGAGCTATCCATCGTTCTACGAAGCGGTGAGCAACTGTCTCCGCCGTGATAGACGTGATGGGTATAGCTTCGGGCCATCTGGTGAAGCGGTCGATGCACGTGAGTATGTGATCATACCCGTGCGATGGTGGCAGTGGTCCCACAATGTCTAAGTGAACGTGATCGAAGCGGGCATCAGGCGTAGCGAATGTACCGAGGGGGGCGGCTACGTGCCTGTGCACTTTTGATCGTTGACATTGTAAGCATTGCTTAGCCCACATACGAACATCTTTATTCATGGACGGCCAGACGTATCGTGCAGCGATGAGGCGTAATGTAGCTGCGATACCTGGGTGAGATAATCCATGCAGGGCATCGAATACGAGACGGCGATAAGCAGAGGTTACGATGGGTCGAGGAAGACCGGTAGAAGTATCACATAGAATGGTGCCAGAAGTCGTGGCCAGAGGTACTTCCTGATACTGAAGGGACGTAGAGTGTGGTGCTTCTGTACAGCTGGGATCGTTTGCTTGGGCAGCGGCCATAGCAGGAAGATCGAGCACCGGTAGGGTAACTGCATTCATTTGGATTCGTGATAGAGCATCGGCAACACAGTTCGACTTGCCTTGGATGTGACGAAGGTCTGTCGTGAACTGGGAGATATAGTCCAAATGTCTGCACTCTCGTGGTGAGTAGCGGTCAGACTTGGTATGCAAAGCATACGTTAAGGGCTTATGGTCGGTGAATAAAATGAATCGACGTCCTTCTACTGCGTGCCGAAAATGTTTGATGGCGCAGTAGGCTGCTAGCAGCTCGCGACCAAAAGCGCTATATCTCGTCTCCGTGGTAGTGAGGCGTCGTGAGAAAAACTCGAGAGGTTGCCAACTACCGGAGATGTTTTGTTGCATGACTGCTCCTATAGCAACATCGGATGCATCAACCGCTATACTAAGCGTGGCTGATGGATCGGGATGGGCGAGAAGAGTGGCTTGCGCAAAAGCCATTTTGATTTCAGTGAATGCAGTACGTGCAGAATCGTTCATTTCCAATCTGCGTGGGTTGCCGCGTAGTAAGTCGGTTAGTGGTCGTAACCGTTCTGCCGCGTGTGGGATGAAACGACGGTAGAAGTTAACCAAACCGAGAAAAGCCTTCAGTTCCTTGAGTGAGGACGGCACGTTGTACTCCTTTATTGCTTGCACTTTGTCCTCACAAGGTAAAATACCCTCTTGTTTGATAACATCACCCAGAAATATTATTTCTCGTTTACTTAACTCGCATTTGTCTGGGTTAACTACTATTCCATTATCCGAAAGGCATTGGAATAAAAGCGTAAGATGTTGATAATGTTCATCTACGTTTGATGATGCGATTAGTAGGTCATCAATATAGACGTGAACAAAATCGAGGTCTCGTACAATGCTATCGATAAACCTTTGAAAAGTTTGAGCAGCATTCCGTAATCCAAATGGCATTCGTAGGAACTCAAACAAACCGAAAGGAGTCGTGATAGCGGTCTTTTCGATATCTTCAAGAGCGACTGGGATCTGATGATATGCTCGTACCAGATCGATCTTAGAAAAGATAGTCGTGCCCTTGAGCGATGCCGTGATGTCGTGTATGTGGGGGATGGGGTAGCTATCAAAGCGCGTAACTACGTTTAGAGCTCGGTAGTCGCCGCATGGTCTCCAACTAACCCCATCTTTTTTGCGCACCATGTGTAGAGGAGAGGCCCATGGACTGTGAGAAGGACGAATAATACCAGTAGCTAGTAAATTGTCAAACTCACGCTTAGCAAAAGCTAATTTGTCCGGTGCCAGTCGGCGAGGTCGTGCCGTGACTGGCGGTCCGCGGGTGACTATGTGGTGTACCACACGATTGGTCACCGATGGAAGCTCCTCGAGTGGTTTAGTGAGTACGGGGAATTTCTCGAATAAAGCGTGGAATTTATCGTCACGCGAGTAAAAAGTGCCGAGGATTCGGT